ATAGACACATCCATTCCAATAGGTTGCAATGTGCCTTTTCGAGTGGGTGCAACCATGGGTCTTGATGGTTCGGAAAAAGGTGTAATCCTTTGAAAAAACAAAAAAGTGGTTTTTTAATTTAAAAGGTGTAACCATTTAGAAAAACTAAAATATGGTTTTTTAATTTAAAAGGTGTAACCTTTTAGAAAAACTAAAAAATAGTTTTTTTTTTTTAATTCAAAAAACCAACCACCCAAAAAAAAACCCACTCATTTATGAAACCCATTTAAATAAGCTCAGCCCAAAATTAGGCCCAATCCAAAATTACAAAAAAGAATAATCTGGACTTTACAATTAGGCCCAAGCTCAAGCCCAAATCCTAAACTCAGCTTATTTAAATTTCAATTTATTTCAACATTTTTTCCATGTGGGACAAACACTTCCCACATTATGCATACCCATTTATGCTTATCAAAACACCACACTTTGGAGCTAATTTCTCATTCATCCGGAAACGGATTTCAGAAAGTAAATATACCACGTTCATCTCCTTGCGGAGAGAAACGCGCTTGTCTAGAAATCTGTAAAAAATTATTAGCGTAATTTATTTCAAATCTCATCCAAAGTTTATGTTTTTAATACCCCCGTTTCCAACACGTGGTTTGTTAACGGTTTTTGGCATTTTTGGTGACTGCCGAAAAGTCCTAGTTTGCAATATTTTTAAAATTTTAAGAGAGTTGTATATCCAAAGTAAAATAGAAGGGTCTAATTTGCTCAAAAAGTAAGTCTTATGGGTGTTTTATATACTTCGTCCTATAATCTAATAGACAAGGAAATGGAATTGCTTATGCATTTTGGTTTGCGTTTTGTTTTTGATGTTTTATTTTAATTCGAAATAAAATAAATGTTTTTTTGTAAAGTATTTTGAATAGTAATCAAAAGTACATTTGATAACACTCATTTGTTACAATATTTTTAAAGGTAAAAATATGAAAACATATTTGATAAAAAAGTGTTACATGTTTCAAAAATATAATAATTAATTTTAAAATATCATTTAAGATTTTTTTTATTAAAAATAAAATACACTGTTTATCATTACAGTATCGATTGCTAAAATTGATAGATATAAAAATATTAAATTATTTTTTGGATTTTTTACTACTATTTACAAAATATTTTAAAATTATATAAAATAAAATATTTTTTACAGAACACGTTTATTCGCTACTTTATGCGTACAAATTATCTTATTTTGTCTGAAAACGAAACGAGAAAAAAATAAAAATAAAAAAAGGTTTGAAAGTTCAACGGCTTCTGGATCTCTCTATTTTCTAGTCTTAAAAATGGTACTTTTTCAAGGTTGAAGGTTCTGATGTGTCGCGAAAGCGAAAACCGCGTTTTCGTTGACCTCGTGGGGTCACAACACGAGAATATGGATTAAGGGACCCACCATCTTGCCCAGCAGCTTCCACTATGGTTTTAATCTCAAATATCACATTCACACACACACACACAAACACACACGGGGTCACTCATGAATACATATATACCGGAAATCGAATATACCGTATCATTTATGTGATTTTAGATGAAAATTCTATACGGTAAAAAAAAAAAAAAAAACACTCAATCTATATTTTTAATTAGTCATTTCATTTTTTTTTTTTTTTAACTTGCAACGCCTTTTTATTAAATATGTGTTTACGTTACCAAACATATTTTTAAATAATATTAAACACACTTCAAAACAGAAACATTACTTCTACTTCTGGTCAAAGTAGTTGTGACTGCCAAACAGGCTCATATTTAATTTATCCACGAAAAAAAAAAAGAATATGTTTAGCTTAACTAAAGTATAAACAATAAAATTGAATGGAATTATCATTTTGTTTAAGTTATTCCTAAATAACTCTTAAGTTATGTTTGAGTGCACTGATTAGGCTTAAATTTGGAATAATTAAATTTTCTTCAGTTTTAAATTCTAACGGTTGATTAGGTGCTCCTAAATGTAACATCAGTGATCTAATAAATATGTAATTAGAGATGCGATTGTCACTTACCACCGAAAATATCATGTGTGCATCAATTTTTGAGATATAAGTGGATTGATATATTTGGGAAATTTATCAAATAAAAAATCAAAATTTATTCAAAACAAAATTATAATAAAATATGTTTATCATTTCTGAATTGAACAATATATATATATATTTGATCTTTTAAATTAATAGTCCTTTTTTATTTTCATGGCAAACAAACACAGCTACAAGGAGAACACATCATACTCAACCTTAGCAAGCCGAAGAATATCTACAGGAATGCATTCTAACAGGCTTTAACACCATGAGGGTAGTAATACCACCCTTACCTCCAAAAATGAAGATAGAGAGTTTAAACCCTTGTAATAACAAAATGAATATGTGAGTAATTTGTCAAAGACAAAATATATATAAAAAATGGCTTTAATTGAATTCATGCACGCAAATTTTTTAGGAGAGTTGTGGAAATCAAGGGCATATGAAATCTATTAAATGGAAAATTACTATAAAAATAAAAATAATTGGAATAATATTTATTTTTTTCTCTTCTTTTCCCCGCAAATATTCAGACATTGCTTGAATAGACTTAAGCCCTCCACCTTAAGCTTTGAGAGGAGAGAAGAGGCTACTAAACCACGTGCTTTGGATAATATTTTCTTATTGAATGCCATATTTGACATAATTTAGACTAATGCTATTTATGTTATGTTTGGTTGGAGCCTTGAAGGGAAGGATTGGGGAGGGATGAATGAGGCTCTTTGTGTTTGGTAGGAGGGAAGGGAAGAGAGGGAGGAAATAAGGAGGGATAAAATATCCCTCGTATTTTTTTTTTTTTCTAGTTTGTACTCATACACACTTGTCTCTTTTGAGATTTGAACCCCTAACTTCCCTTTAGGAAGTAAGAGACTGATACGTTAGGCCACTGGCCAGTTAGTAAAGCATCCCTCATTTCTTCATATTTTCCTATTTGCCCAATTTTGGGAGGAAGGGATGAGAGAGAAAATGAATAACTACATACAGTATATAATTTCTAATTTTAACCTTTTCAAAAAAAATCAAACGGATATCTACCTTTCATTATTTTATACGGTGAAGGTATATTGGTAAAAAATATAAAAATTCTCTTTTCTTTCCTTCCAAATATATATATATATATATATATATATATATATATATATATATATATATATCACCACATGTATTATTTCTATTATCTATTTCATTCAATCAAACAAAAGAAGGGAGATATACCTTCTCTGTTTTTTTTTTTTGTTCATGGAGTTTTGCCGTTTGAGCGTGTCTGCTCAAATTTCACTTTTTCGGGATTCATTCCGAAAGGTCGTGATCGATGCGACGTGCCCGGTTACTCTTTAACCATTTTCTTTGAGTGTTGACTCCGAGAAACTATCAGATATTCACTCTTTCTTTCTTAAGGATTCCTCATCCATCTCTCCCCATATCTCTTCCATTTATTTTCCCATCCGAAGCAACAAAAAACATATTGAATAAAGCATGTGAGTATTTAAAATAATATGAATTCATTCAGAAAATCAAATAACTTTTTAATCAATATTCATTTTTGAAGTGTTTACAACTAAAGATTGATATTTTACGCACAATATTTGTAGATTTTTCTTAACTCTCTTGTTATTGAACAAATTTGAAAAATCGCCTCATGTCTAAATAGTCTTAAATATTGGAACGAGATGAAATTATGCAATTATTGGTTATGTAAGAAAAGTTTTGGTTAGGTAAATATTTACACACACATCTCACAAATTATTCATTAGGAAGCCCTCACCCTCCCTTTGAGAGAGCAGACGTCATACCATTAAGCTAATAGTCCATCAATATTTTTCATGAGAAGTTGTTATACCATTTGTTATTAAATTTAGTGGAGATGTTTATATATTATATCAAGAATGGATTATATAAGAATTATTTAAGACACTACTATACCATTATAGATATATTATATCCATAACGTTTTAATAATAGTTCGAATGCTCTGTGTATTGTTATATCGAGTCCTAAAAAGTATGTCGGAGGTGTCGTGACGGTGTTAGACAAGGACACGTCAGAGACATAGCCAGACACATGACTGATACGGTTGAAGTGTCCAAATTTTTAAATGATTATACTTTTAAAGACAAACATAGCCTGAATATACCATAGACACGACTAAATATGTAAGGACATGGCTAAGACATACTTCGGAAAATGAAATGCTCGATTTGTGAACAATTTTTTTTTTTTTATTACATTGGCCTCTATTTGAATTTTAAAACCTAATAGAGTAAAAATGTGAAAATAAAAATTAAGCAAGCCCAACAACAATATAAGCCTATTCATATTTTTTGTTTGTTCTTAGCCTAAAACTTTGATCTCACTTTTTTGTACTAAATAATTGATAAGATAATAACGTAATTAAGTTGTACTAAAAAATTAAAGTATGGGGAGTTTACGAGAGAGATTTGACTGAGGGGAGCATTTCCCTCTCTATCCTATAAGAGTCAAGTTTGGTCTGTATGTGAATGTAATAAGTATAGAAAGAGACACACGCAGATGCAGTATCTTTGTGGTAAAAATTACACACTCACACAGTGGCAATCAAGTCTTTAATTTAACGTAGTCCGTGACGCCGTCACCTCTTCAAAATTTCCAAGCTGTGTGGGTCCTCCTTTTTTTTTTTTTTGTTGTCACAATGAATTTTGTTCATTTAATTTGTTTCCTTTGTTGTCTGATTTGCCCACTTCGTTTGACTTTAGCCTTTCTAATGGGAAAGGTGGACTTTTTAAACCACTAGAAACTTCTCACTCTTTTCTGTCCTTCAAATTCTCCTTTTTTTTAAGTAGAAGAATCTCCGAAAATTCATTCACCTTTTTAATTAATTAATTAATTAATTATTCCTTCTTAGTGCAAGTTGAGACTTGAGATAAGATATATAAAATATTGAAACTAGTTTATTTAGTCAATTGGAGTAGTTATTGACCGACTATATCTTAGATAGACCACCTCCCTTCCCAATACAGACAGCAATTAAGTTCTAGTTCTAGTTCTAGTTCTAGAGAGAGAAAGAGTAAAGTTCTAGAGAGAGAAAGAGGGGAGATGGAAGATCAGCGGCACTTTAGAGATCAATTTATTGCAAGTCCTTTGATGTGCTCATTCGAGACAACTCCAGAGAGGGCTTCTTCTCTCTCTGAACCAGTCAGTTTACTGCATAGCCCCTCTTCAGATGGCTCTACCAGTTTCGGAACAAGTACAATCTCTCTCTCTCTGTCTCTCTTAATTTTCTCTTTCATATGTGCACACACACACACATACACAAACACACGCATCCAATAAATTTAATGTCCTTAAATTGAGTTTAATTTAATTTTGGTGTATGGTTTATTATTCTTGAACAAGCAGGTAAAATTAAAGATCCCAAGAACAAGTTTGGGAGGAAAGCTAACAGCTTTGCATACAGAATTCGCGAGCACGGTAATATATATATATATATATATATATACTTTTGGACAAAGGGGTTTTATTAGAATTTTATCGTTTCTAAGCAGCTTTAATTTTCATTTGTTGTGATATATTAAATTATTCATCAGCACTCCCTGTATACAAAAATTTCGAATAAAAGTAGCAGGATTACTGCTAGTCAACGTTCACGGCGTCGGACATGTCAAATCTCAGAAGAATCACTACTAAATATTCATATTATTTAAATAGTAATATTTTTTTCTAGAGTAAAATTATATTCTTATATATCATAGTGTTCAATATAAGCAATTCACTCAAAATAATAATATAATAAAATTGAATTATTGAATATATCATTTGGGTGAATGTCCATATTCATTGCTTGTGTATGGAGATGCGATACATATCCCATCTCGATATTCAAGCATTGTAGTACACCTAGTTTTGGAGAGTCCATGTATGTGGGTTGATTATATATATATATTGACATCATGAATGAATTTTGTGTATATATACACGTGCAGTGAGATTGGGGCCTAAATTTTCCGAAACTGTGAAGGGGAAGTTGAGTTTGGGGGCCAAAATTATTCAGAAAGGTGGGAGGGAAAACATATTCAGGCAGATATTTAGTGTGAGTGATGGAGAGAAGCTGTTGAAGGCTTCTCAATGCTATTTATCGACAACAGCCGGTCCCATTGCCGGGATCCTCTTTATCTCTACCCAAAAGGTTGCCTTCTGCAGTGAACGATCCATCTCCTTCCGCTCCCCTACCGGAGACTTCATCAGAACACCGTACAAGGTACTTCAATCATATATATATATATATATATATATATATATATATATATTGTATATTTAATTTCCAAGACGAGATCAAAATTTCAATGAATTAGGATAACTGCAATGGGATTTATATAGTATTTAGCAAGATAACGTGCAGCTCTATTTGCGTATGTACCTACCCACATGTGAAATTAACTTTGAGCTGAATGACTTGAGACAAATTAAAGACGCCGAGTCTTGAATTTCGGCATCCCAATAGATCGAATTGAAATTCTGGAAAGCCCAGAGCTGCCTTCAAAAACACTTGGTGGGATCTAATTTAGACCATATATGCACTATATCGGCCCCCTATCAGTAGCTAAATGAACAGCACTTCTAAGGTTATGATTAAAGCTTCAGAACTTCAATGGATGCTAGGGTAAGAGGATGACAAAAGTTAACACGGGTAGAGTTAGTTAGGAAGGATACGATAACATGTGTTTGACTGAGGCCATGGCCTTGGAACGGAATGAAAACATAAGATCAATGTAGCTGACTCTGCGTAGTTCGAAAAAATGCTTGAATCGCTTAATTATTGTTGCTACCCCTTGAGTCTCTTAAAATAATACCTACCCTTGCCTCCTTTTTGTTTAGTTTACGCCAAAAGCAGCATCCATATTTATTTTTAGCCAATTTTCAATAGGATGTGACAAGGCGAGCTTTTGAGCAGAAACCAAAGGAGAAGTGATATTCATCTTTCCATAGATACCATTACAAACAAAGAAGCTAGAGTAATAACCCGAGCGCTGCTTTTTTGTTGCACATGCAGGCACCTCCGAATCAACTCCTTCCACCACTCTTTTTATGTTTTTTTTCCCTGGCTAACTATGGGATGGGGGACTTGAACACGGGCACACCCGCTCGGGTAGCCGAGCACTCTACCAACTAGGCCACTGAGTAATACCCCTTCCACCACTCTTTTCATTTAGCTGAGTTCTGATTCACGACGTCCAATCTCAAAGGAGATCAGAGTTTCTTGCTAGACTAGAAGAGCAACTAGCCGGATTACTCAACAGCAGGAGACTCTGCAGAACTCCAATTTTCTCGAAGCGACATCTCTAAAGAAACCATTTGATTTTCCCTTTTGTACCTATCTTCCATGTTGATTTCCACAGCTGCTCATTCCCCTGAGACGTACCACTCTCACCTTGATTTTTTCGACTGATTCTTTGCCGAACCATTTCCTTTGCAATGTAATGTGCTGACTTAACTGAGAAACTGCCCTGCCCTTCTTGGAGAAGCCCCGTACTTCTTGATCATCAAAATCTCACCAAGAAACAGGAATACTAAACATTAGCCCAAATATATATATGTGTGTGTGTGTGTGTGTGTGTGTGTATTAATTCAATCATGCTTATATATTCATGCATATGTATGTACCTGCAGATCTTGATTAGCATAGATTTAGTGGATTTATCTATAACTATTCTAATTTATGTTACACTATTTATATTTAATCTCCGCAGGTTCTGATTCCAACAAGGAAGATTAAGAGAGCCAGCGAAAGTGAGAATGTGCACAAGCCGGCGCAGAAGTATATTGAAATAGTTACGGAGGATGATTTCGAATTTTGGTTTATGGGATTTGTGCGGTATGAGAAAGCTTTTGTAAATCTTCAGAAGGCCATTTCCATGTCCAATTAAGTTCTACCGGACATCTTTTGTAGGTGGGAAGAGAGAGAGATCTTCTCAATAGCTCTGAACTTTGTACAAATTTGGTTAGATTGTATTAGTAGCTTAGGCATGTTTGGTATGCTTTTTGTTTTGTTTTTGCGATTTTGTTTTAACCAAAAACAAAATAAGGTTTTTGTTGTATGGTGTTTTGAATAGTATTTAGAAGCATGTTTGGTAATATCTATTTGTTGTAAAAATTTTGGAAGCAAAAATAAAAAAGTGTTAGCAAGTTTAAAATGTCATTTTGGAGTTCTACAAAAAAAAAAAAAAAAAAAAAATGGGGTGTTCATTGCTACGGTACCCGATACAACTGCAGAAACATGTATCGACACTAAATTGCTGTTATGACAAATGCAGAAACATGTATAGACACTATGACTTGCAGAAAAGTATAAAAACACCTAATTGCTGTTTTGACTTTTGGTCACTATTCACGAAACGTTGACACTGTACAAAACAAAATAGTTTTTATCAAATGCAACACGACGCAGTTCGAAAAAGGCCTTAGTAAGCAAAATCTGGTTTTCACGTTTTTGGTTCTATATAAACAGCTATTGCTAATGGCAACAATTAGCAGCTATATATTGCTCCTTTCTGGTTTAGTTGGGATGTTTCATCTCACAAATTGATTAGCAAGAAAGATAAAAAAAAGAAAAGAAGACATTTTAGGCACTCAAGACTTGCTTGATTAATTGGATAAATTACAAGCAATTACTTGTTTTGAAGAAGTTCAAACTTGTATAAATGCTAAGCTACAAACCTTGTACAAATGCGCAAACAAGAATACAAGGTCAATGTGTATATTGTTCATAAACAAACCCCACCATAAAACTCACTCAACATCTACAAAAAGAGGCAATCAGATAAAAGATCAGTAGACGATCATGTTTGTTGCGAAAAGCCTACTTTGTTGTAGTGAAATCTCTATAAAGCCTTGCAGCCGGGAAGGTCGATCCAATGCAGTTGGAGTTCCACTTCACCACATTCAACATTTCTCAACCTGAGGCACATATTCTGGACAATCTTGCCGTCGTTCCAAGTAATGCAGCTCTCTTCGGCCAGGCAGTTCTTCCTGCTTGGATGCAATCTTGTGACCACAGTCCCGGTTGGGAGGTCTTGCAACTTCATCTTCAAGGCCTCTATAAATGTTTTGATGTCAAACTCTGCATCTCCCATTTTGTCGTCTGGGCTGAATAGGTCATGGTCGTACACAGTCTGAAATTACAACCGAAACACGTCAATCATGATTTTAATGGTTATTTCGGAGATTAATGAAACGATATAATAGTACTAGTGAATGTTCAAAGGAAAGAGCATGTTGCATGAGCATCCGTAAAAGAGGATATAATGACTTGAAGAAGAATCAGAAGTGATGCAGATTTCTGACTTTTAGCTGTGTATAATCTCTTTAAGGATTTATTTGTCCAAAGAGTTTGCTATCTGGTTCTTTGACAAAACAACTCTAGGATACAACAAAGTCTGAATTTCTGCAATTAGCGATACTGAAGAAATTCCGTGACAAGTGGTCTAAGGCACATACTCATACGAGTGTTCATACGAAAGAGCATGTTGCATGAGCATCACTATCTAAGAAATTCCATGGGTTTACCTTGTTGTTTTCAAATTTAGTTATTTTTCATGTATTTGATATGTACAAAGTATAACTTCAGAGAATATTTTAAGTACCCTAATCAGAATCAGGTTACTAATATCCGTCAAATTGCAAGCTGTTAAACCTATTAGTTGCCTTCAAATTGCGAGCTGTTAAACCTATTAGTTGTAGGCCGTTTACAGAAGAATCTCACACACTGTGTATTAAACAGAACATTAAAATTAAAGAAACAAGAAATAGAAGATTTTGAGATAAATCAACAGAGAAGTGGCCTCCACTGAATTTAGCACAAAAAAACCATAAGTTTCACCGGTCACAGCAGTTATTAGCTAAAAGTTAGCCAATTTGGAAACAACAAACTAGGAACAAGTCAATTTAGGGGAAGACCAAGGATTAGTAGAATGAAAACAAATTTTACAATTCATAGGGAGACCAATTTTTTAGGGTTACATAAAATTTTGGGCCCTTTAGTACCTTAATAAGTTTGGCACTGCAAGTTTGTAGTAAATGATACAGCTCAGTATCAAAACACTATCTGGATCATTAATCCAAATCAAACACATTTCAGTGGCAAATTACACTGTTCAGAGTTTCCACTTTCCAGACATTGCCTTGGCAGCTTCAATGAATGGCACATGTGTATTTGGAAGGTTTTTTAATTTCATTACCAAGAAAAAAAAAAAAAAAAGGGACCTCGTGTCGTGAGATCTTTGGTCAAGTCTTATATAGACCTTAATTATTTAACAGGTCTTTCCGGCGGCTAAGATATATATATTTTTTTCCTAGTTGGGACTCACACACACTGCCTCCACTGAAGTTCGAACCCTGACCTCCTTTTGGGAAGTAGGAGCCTTGAACCGCTAGGCCACAGGCTAAGATAAACAGAGGACAGATGCAAGTTATATGTACTAAGATACTGATAGGTCAGACTTCAATAACCATATGAAACTTCATGATCCCCAGGTTTGTAGGAGCTTAAGGGAACTCAAAAAATGAAGTGCTCATCCTAAGTTCCTCATTGTTTAGTGAACACTCTGTTTGAGCCATCTAAAATAGCTTGCAGGATTATTCAAGCATATCTTTTAGCATGAAAAGCATTGAATTAGAAGAAAGCTTAGCATCATTAAAAATCTTCTAACTTAACAAAAAAGATAACTAGTTTGCTACCTAACAGATGTATGTCAGATGTTGAAATGTAACCAAAAAAAGTTACCAGCTTGATTGGAAGATTGGGATCTGAAATTGAAAGAGTTAAATCTTCTTCCCACACAGGATTGACATCCTTCTTGATAACTCGAGTCTTCAGTTTCTGCATCAAATATTCACATTCATATAAGAACTGAAAATGGAGAAAATATCAACTAGATACAAGACTTTATAAGGAAAAATATAAAATTAAAAATTAGTTTGAACTACTATGTTACAAGCGCAACATTTTACAACCCAAAAAATTAAAAAAAAAGGTGCATTTACGGGAAACAATTGGGGTCTATTCGGTTCAGTTTTCTGAAAACAGCTCTCAAGAATTCATAAAACAGAAAACTGTTTTCAAAAACTACAAAATATTGTTATTTGAAAACATAACTTTTTTTAAATGAGTTTTCAGAAAATTGCCAACCAGTCAAATCTTTGTACTTTCTGATTTTCAGTTCTTTGACAACAAAAAACTGTTCCAAGAAACTAAACCAAACAGACCATTAGTTTTCAAGTCCTTTGGTTTTCTCTCTTGAAGGCAACCACATGAGCTATTAGGTTCTCTCTTATAAGAGAACGCTTACGGTTTCCTACAAAGATATGGGGGTTAAACAGCACATAGTTTACCAACTTAGACGACTAGAAGATGAATAGACAATGGACATGTAAAAAAATTAAATTTCAAAAGACATGATTTTCTAACCCCAAAGTTTGAAGGCTAATTGTTAGGCATCTATAAGCATTTGATCTACCTTTGAGTAAAGAAATTAGGAATTTTTCATCTTAAAAGCAAAATAATTACTTCTGAAATGCTAAGAAAACATTTCATCAATAACATGTCTGCAGATCGATCAAAATTTTCCTACAAAATTATGCAACTAGAAAATTGCAAAAAAAAACAATTTAAGTTTTTTATGCCACAATTGCCATCATTTTTTTTTCCTGGGTAAAGTGGAAAAAATATTAATAAGGGTATGATCTTAATTTATCATTAGACAAGACTGTGACCTAATAAAAAGAGCCTAATGATGCATAATGCCTGGTTGACACTTGCAAAACTTGGTGGAGAACTTGGAACTTGACAATTGAAAAGCTATTTCCACCAAAATGTTTGACAATTTATTAGTACAAGAAAAGTTGTCATAACCAGCGACATGTCAACTAGAATCTAGATTCTAGTTGACAAGAGTCCAGAAAATTTCAATAGTTCTTGACTTGCAGAACTGTTTAGATATTAACAAGTGTGAAGTTAAGCTTAATCAGAAAGCAATATGTACAGCTTGTTCCTAATACATCGATATTTATGATATGTAGAATCTTTGATAATATTCTCCTTGCCCATAAGATTTTGAAGGACTACCATAAGCATTCTATCTCCCGAAGATGTACCATCAAGCTTGACCTTCACAAAGCATACAACTCATTCACTGGGATTTAGTCATTTTTGTTCTTTACCTTCTCACATTCCTTCCTCCTTTCCCCATTCCCCCCTTCTTTTGTTCACTGGATTATCTCGTCTTACCACCCCCTCATTTTCCATATCAATCAATCGAGAGCTTGAAGGTTATTTCCATGGTAATAAAGGTGACAAGGCGACCCTCTCTCACCCTTTTTGTTTGCCATTGACATGGAAACGCTCTCCTCAAACCTTAACTCAGTTTCCTTGAGCAACAATGACTTCACCTTTCATCCCAAATGCAAGAAACTCAACCTAAAAAAACCTTATTTTTGCTGATGAATTCTTATGCTGCAGAGGTGACTCATCCTCAGCCCATACCATGAAATCAGGCCTTGACATCTTATTCTCCATCCCTGGTCTCACCCCTAACCATTCTAAAAGCCAAATTTTCAGCTCCTCAGTCAATGATACAGCACCCTACCAGTTAAAAACCTTGGCCTTCCCTTGGTGTCTTCTAAACTAACCTCTCATGACTGTAAATCTCTTGGAGAGAAGATAGTGGCCAGAATCCGGAATTAGACTTCCAAATTCCTTTCCTATGCAGGTGGAGTCCAATGTAATGACCCGGTCTTTTTCCTACTTTTCCATTTTCAGCGATTTTCTTTTTTCGTCTTTTTCCTATTTTGTCTATTCCTTTTTTCATCTTTTTCCCGTTTATCGTTTTTCCTTGCGTAACCTCACTTCTAGTTTTCGGATTTGATTCCGGTTTTGCATACAATCATGATATTTGATTTCCATGACATTGGTATTTTTACTTTTGTTGAAAAGCATGCTATTTGCTTACTTTATTCATAAAGGGCATGAATGCATACTTTAGTGTAATTATTCATAATTTTTGGGGTTTTAGTATAATTATGTAAAATAATTATTTTTCGTTTTAGGGACCTTTTTGCAATTTATTTTGGGAGATATTTTGAAAAAGGACCATTTTGCAATTTTTGGAAAGGGTGACAAGTGTCACACTCTCATGGAGCCATTTGTTGGCATTTGGGTGAAGAGACTTGGCACCATGACTTCTTGACATTTGGAGGGTGGAGATTCACCCACTTGTTGGCCTTAGATTAGTGCACATGTAGCCATTGATTTGTGACAAGTGTAGGCTTAAGATTAAGCCTAGGGTGGAGCATCAGATTAGTGACAAGTGTAGGATCAAGATTTAGTCTTGCATTGTGTGTGTGAGAGAGGTAGTGCAAGAGCACATAGTGAGTGGAGGATTTCTAGCCCTTCCACTCATCATTTTACACTTTACCTTTTTCATTTCATTGTCTCTCATGAACCCTAGCCAATCCACCATTGGTGGAAAGCTTAGTTCATAGCTTATCCCTTCAATTTGGCTCACTTCCATTCACCTTAGAGTAAAAACCTCGGGAGAGAAAAGATTCCTCTCACTCTCCTCTTCAATAACCCTAAACTTGTTTTACATTTTGAGCTTGGTTGCTTGGATTATAGAGATTCGATTCTCTATTGAGGTAGGGGTGGTAGTATGTTTATATTCTAAGTGTTTTATAATCCTTGGGGTTTAATATATATAGTATACATGCTTTTATTATGATAGTCTTGCATATTATAGGAAACACTCACATCTTGACTTAGGGTTTATTGATTTAAGCATGTATGATATGTGTAAACCATTTGTAGAAGGATTATATAATTTAGTGATATGCTAAATTCTAGTAATTTCACATGTGTTGTGATATAGAACTCTTGTAGAATTATAAATGTATATGCAAATTCTATTGACTTGAATTGCTATATTTGTTGTGATAATAATTCTATATTCTTGTGAATTACAAATTGTGATTAATATAGAAGCTTATTGCTAAAATGTTGATAATTAGTATATAGGGCTTATTGTTGAGGCATGACTTGAATTGATAAGTTAGTGGTATTGTATTGTGCATAATATCATGAAGAGTACTTGTCATTTAGCATGCCATTCTAGACTTGGAACCCTAAGACATGGTTTGTGCGGTTTCAAAGTACTTGTGCTTGTAAGGTGGTTGATATGCTTTATTATCTATATATATGAGTTTTGAACTTGATATATTTTGGATTATCTTGGGACATTGTTTAAGTGACATGGCTAAAGTTGGCTTTAGTGCGGGAGGTATGAGTTCTCCCCAATTGATATAGTGCGCACTAGGGTGGTCTTCCCAGCGGGTTAATGCCCGGAATAACCATTTTGTTCTTGGTTTAGTCCGAGACGTGATGTCCAAGTATTCCACTAATTGATTTTGCATTAAATTTCAAGTTGACAACCAATGCTTAATTGTAGCTTGAAATTCTTGTTATTGGCGAATTGATGTTGTTAAGTACATTGATATTGATATGTATTGCTAAAGAATCATTCAAGTTAACTTAAGATGATCCCTTAGAATACCTTGAACATAGAAGTTAGGTGGAATGCTCCCTTGTATTCGTCTATATTGATCTTGCAATGATATTGAAACTGTAGGGTATACGCATATGCTTCTTCCTACGAGTAACTTGATTACTCACCCTAGTGGTTTGGGTTGTTTTTCAGGTAAAGAGACCATGTTCTTGGATGCTCATCATCCTTAGAAGCTTTTGAGATATTTGAAGCATTTTTGTATATTGACATGCACTTGTTTAGCATGCCTTCCTTTTGGATGTTAAATTTTGTATACCATGGATGTATGGTATTGTAGAAGCTAAGATGGCTTCCTTGATGTGTAATGTATATCTAAGAACACTTGAAGATGTCTATTTTGTATGCATAACATGAGGCCAAGTGCCATGTACATTATATCACATGTATGCTAGTTTAATCCCATAGTTTGTCTTATGAAATTATGAGAATTCGAGGTTTGATAGGTCGTATTTTGTATATGACATGTTATGTGGCCATGGGCTATTGGAACACGTGTATTTATTCATTTTACATATGCGTGCATGTTCACTTTGGCACACAACACCATTTTTGATGAAATAAACACTTAAAGTAGCATTCATTTTCACATTTTTGTTAAATCAGACCTCAAGGGCATTTTTGGTATTTCACTTGAAAAATAAATGTTGGTCTTGACATGGTTGACCAGAAAACATGATTTTAAGGGGGGTTACTTCACAATTTTTTTCCAAAAAAAGGCCCAGAAAGTCCTCAAAATCACATTTTAAGTCCCAAAAGCTGCTAAGTTTGTTTGCAGGACGAGCGCTCGTGCATGGGGACGAGCGCTCGCATTTGGGGCAGTAGGTTTTTGCCCCTGGGCGTGCGCCGTACGGCGCTCGTAGCTCTTGTACGAGCTCTCGTCTATCCCTTTTTCAGCACTGCACCTCCGACTTCAAATTGTCATATCTTCCTCGTTTTAATTCCGAATTGGTCCGTTCTTGAGTCTAAACTGACCGCATCGAAATAAGCTTTCCAATGGTACCAATTAGAGTTTCAGATTTTTTTTGTAGCTCAAGATATTCAAATTTTAGTGGAGGGGTGTCAGTTTTTGGCTCGAACTGGGATAGGATTTTTCTTCCTTCGACTTCAAGACTTGATACCTTTGCCGTCAGGACTCCGAATCAAGTGATTCTTGAGTCCATCTTTGTTAATTTTCGTTGTCTTTCCAATGGTATGCATGGTGGCATCCATTTAAGTTTGAAATGACCATTTTACCCTTGGTTCATTTCTTATCGGGTTTGACATT